GGCACCCGGCCGCCCGCATGGCTAGTTTATACCCAGAAATAATTACACGGAAACTGTATTCTTTCAAACACTGCCTGGCCCGGCTAGGTCCAGTTTCTTATTGGCTAGCTCTTACATATTGTTCTAACCCATTTCTAATATTCTGTGTAGCCCACGAGCTGGCTTACCAGAGAGGATCTTAACCTGCGTCTGTCTGGAGCGGGAGAATCATGGTGACTCACTCACTAAGCTTTCTCCCAGAATTCTCTTCTGTTTTCTCCACCCACCTAATTTTCTGTCCTATGAGGGCCGAGGCAGTTTCTTTATTATTACAAGACCCACCTCCATCACTTGCCTTCCACATTACCCTTTATTTCTTACAGTTTCATATAATCTCTGGGCTCTGTTCCCCTTTTCTTGCAACAATACCAGCTGTAGTCGAGGAAGGTTACCCTAATGACCTCATTTTAGTTACTATTTAAAGGAATATTTCCAAAGACAGTCACATTCTGAGGTGCTGGGGTAAAGGGAGTTCATCTCTGCTTTTAACCACGGAATGTGATTTCCTCTTGCTGCCTATTACAGAATGCGTGTTTGCTTCTCTAGCATCCACACTGATATCCTATCAGCCAATGTGACAGGGCTAGAAGGTGGAACTTAGAGAAGTTAAAATAGTACAAAGGATGGAATTCTTCAGAATGAAAATCAAACCCATATAGGACAACAAAATGGACAGTGTTTGTTCTGCATGCCTTCTGTTGTCTGTGGTCCAAGGAATTGTCTTGTGTAAATGAGGACGTGGTATTCATTAAGTATAGATCTTAATGGTACTCTGATTTCATTGATTGCAGCCTTCAAGCCTTCAGAAGAATTGGAAATGTTTTTTTTTTTTTTCTGTTCTTTTTGTTTTTTGAGACGGGGTTTCTCTGTGTAACAGTATTCGCTGTCCTGAAACTCACTTTGTGGACCAGTCTGGCCTCATAGAGATCTGCCTTCCTCTACCTCCTGAGTGCTGGAATTAAAGGCCTGTGCCTCCACTGGCTAGCTTGGAAATGGGTATTTTATATATTCTATCAAGTCTATGACAACCTGAGTAAGACATCATTATAAGTACTTTCAATTTTTTGAAAGATAGACTTCACTCTGATGTACATTTGTTAATTACAATATAAAAATGAAAAATAATGGAAAAAGATGAATAACATTTATTTGGTAAGAAAATGAGAGATAATTTGGAAGTGTTATGAAATTCTTCATGCAATTTCTTAGAATTAGCACAGTCAGATAAATCCTTTGACAAAAAAATAACAAAAGACTAAAGCTGACATCTTTTCTTTTGAGATTTTTTCTATATTTAAGAACAATAAATGAATGTATTAACAAGTTTTAGTACTGGTTAGTTTTTATCGATTTGGCACTAATTTAGACATATTTGGAAAGATAGAACCTCAGCTGAGGAATGGCCTCTGACAGAGCTGATGTGGTCATGAGGCAATATTTAAAATGTTAATTTATGTTGGAGGGCATAGCTCACTGTGGGTGTTGGCATCCCGAGACAAGGTTGGATCTAAGATATATCAGGAATCTGGCTGAGAAAGTCAGGGTATGCAATCCAGTCAGAAGGACTCCTTCATGTTATTGCTTCAGTTCCTGCTTCCAGGTTCCTATCTTGAGTTCCTTCATGGTTCCCTCTATGGTGAACTGTAAGGAATAAACTGAAATTAAGACTTTTCAACTTGACTTTGTTCATTGTTTTATTACAGCAACGACAACTAGGACAATTCATTTTTTTCACTTGTTCAAAAAATTGAAAAAGAATAAGGAATAATTATTTGATAAGCATTGAATTATAGTTTGAATGAAAATTAAATTTTCAGTTCAGTTTTTGGGAACAAAGTGGATAGTGGATGTTACAGTTATGGTTTGTAGGATGCTTTATTTTGTTGAATATACCAATCCATTCTATTTACCAGATTTCTAAAATGAAACAAGTAGTTTCTTCTGTGAAATGCTAACATGGACCTCAGTAAGACTGTACATTTTTCATGACTTCCAAAGCATTCACTATCTTCTCAAAAGTGTATCTGCTCATGAGACGCATACAGACAATGTAAAATCTGACATTTATTTAGTGACACATAACAACTTGACATGCCTACCACAGTTAGAAAATGACAGTGGCATAGTCTAAACACATATACAGTGTCACATAAACTTCATCTAGCCTACAGTGCCTTACACCTGAAACAAATTACTACTCAATCCAGAGTGTGCTGTTGAAACACAAAACAAACTATAACCCCAGGCAAAACACTTGGAGAAAAATGAATGTTTACAAATTTATCCATAGAAAAATTTTACTTCTTGAAAGATATGTATGTTCATATCTCTATTAAAGCAGACTCCCATTTCAATGGTTACTATACCACAAAAATGATGATGATTTAACCACATAAAGAGTATAGAATATCATTCACTGTAGGATTAATAGCAGAAATTAGATGGTCTAGGTATACATATAGGTGGTAGAGTGCTTTATGAAGGAGATACTGGATTAAGTTCTGAGCAACACTCTCCTACCATCATCACCATCGCCACCATGATCATATTAGTGATGCGGATAGCTTTCTACTAGCTCTTATGGGAGATGCACATTTGTTGACTCACTGGAAAGCATGTCGGGTATCGCTTGCTGTATGAAACATAGGCACTGGAAATAAGGGCAAATGGCTTTGTGATTAGCATCTAAACATTAGAGATTGAGATTCATGGAAAATATGTTTTTCGAACCAACTTTGTTCTTTCTTATCTTGAGAGAAATTCTTTGATGTTTAGATACTCAGAGTTAAGAAGATACCAGATAGATGAAAGTCCAAGAAAATGACAGAAATAATAAGAAAGAAATGTGTTTTGCTGGAGAAAAACGACATAGAAAACACCTTTTTCAGGAAGAAAAAAGAGAGCCCATCTTTGAGTTATATCAACTGCTACTCTACATGCTTCCCTGGGCAAAGGAGCCATGTTGGGCTGATGCTTAGGGTGCCTAGCAGGCATTGGTCCCCAGCAGAACAGATGCGTTTTATTATGTAACGGATACCTGCACCTCTAAAGAGCATTCTTCTGGTATCTACTGTTAGGTCAAGCTGTCACGAAGCAGAAAGGTCTAGGAAGAAGAATGTAAACACCTGGCTTATCAGAAATCATTATTTTCCAAAGCTGTAAAGAAGAGTATGCATTAACTTCACCATAAAAGCCATTGATTTAGGAATTGCAACAAGTGACATTCTAACTTTTTAAATTTCCACATCAAAAAGTTAAGAAAAAATACTTATTTAAAACTTCTTAATGGAAAGTATTTGATAGTAAACTCCTAAATCTGTATTATAGAAATTGCAAAGTAATATAATTCTTAAATTTATGTGCCACATCCTATTAACAATGATCATATACTCAGCTGTCAAAATCCCATATTTCTTGGGGAAGAGATTGAATTAGAAAAGAGTTGGAGATGGGAGGTGAACAAGGTCAAAATAGGTTATCTAAAATTTAACTTACTTTACAAAACAAACAAGAATTAACTTTTATATTTTATGATGAATTTTATTGGTTTTTGTAGATGAGTCATATTTATAAGTGTGTTGCTGGTATTCAGTGGAACTAGTTCTAAGATGCAGTATGATGGTTGAATTTAGTGTTCATGGCAGCTCATTTAAAATTTGGCTCTACCACTGACAGTGTCTTGCCTTTTCCATAGTTTAAAGTAGCAAACAGTAACAGTATTTGCTTAAAATATAAGCTAAATGGAGGTATTAGTGTAAGCAAAGCATCTAAAACATCACCTGACATACTGGAAATGTCAGATTTTATTAGCACCCAAATAGCCTGAAACCGAACTCAGCTCCTGTATCTGTCTTTCATTTCTGTTCTCAGCTAGTTTTCAGATGGCATTTGAAGAAACTTAACTTTAATCAAGCTAAAGGAATGAACTTGATCGTCATTAAAAAATATGAGGACAAATCTATCTTATACATAACCATGATACACACAATGATTAGTCCCCGGGCTGATCCATCACTTGTAGTTTGTGACTCATTTGCTCTTTACCCATGAGTAAAGCTTCAGGCATTCTTTCTCAAAGTAGACATTAATTAAAGTAAGCAAAGGGCTAGAGCATAATTGCCATTTTTAAGAATGCTGTGAATTCGGTGAGAACATGAAAGACAAAACTTACTATTCCTCTTTCCATAGAACAAAATAGAAGAACATTTCTTATCATGGCAAATTATAGAAACTAAATTTCCTACCTAGGTAGACAGTTGATATATACAACATTAAAATGTGGGGGCAAATTTGACTATTATCAAAAGTCAGGCTGGATAGTTCTCATACGCAGTGCAGCTGCTACCTCGATTTGCTCAATTAAACAGGATTGTGGGTATTTTTTTACTTTTAATATATGTATTTTATTTATTTTTAATTAAAGTAAAATATAAATACATCACTCACCACTTATCCTTTTTTCCTTCCAAGCCTTCCCATGTCCCCTTTTTCCAATCTCTCTCATATCCCCTACCTCACTCACTCTTAAATGGAGTAATTATTCTCTTTATTATTATTATCATTACATATATATACATAAATATGCACATACAATGTGCATAGTCCCTATAGTGTGGCTTTTGTGTTTGTGACTTCCAGATTGACCACTTTCTTTTGGATGATAAATTGTTTTCTCTTTCTCAACAGTCATTATTTGTCTATAGTTCTTTGTCTCAGAGAACATACAATGAAATTTGTCCTTCCAAATTATCAAGTCTATTCATTTCTTTATTTTTCAGGTTTTGTTTAAGCCGACATAAAATCAGGAATGTAGTTTCCTTGTCATTTCTAGGAGGTACAGCTTCACAGGCAGACTTCTTGGTCCTCTGGCTGTCACACTCTCTCCACCCAGTCTTCTGTAATGTTCTCCAAGCCTTGGATGTAGGGGTTATGTTGTAGATAAATCTTTTGGGTACAGACTCTCCACAAAATATTAATATCTGTACTGCGTCCAGATTTGTTTTTCTTGAATGATCTGTGACTTTCTGTAATATTTCTGTAATATGCTGTAATGAGAAACTTGTTGATAATGACTGTGGCCCGCACTTATCTGTGGTCAAAAAAATAAATATTAGACCTTACCAAGAATTCAAGTGCAGCTTTCTCATG